TTACTTTTCTTCATTAGAAATCATCATACATTTGGTTTTCTTAATTTTTAGTGAAAGGCGATATCTGTGACTTATTTCTGTGATTTTATTCATTAACTCCTGCAAGGTTTCATAACTGTCAGCGAATACCACCGTGTGATCCGCGTATCTAATGTTATTGATATTTTCTGCGTTAATTCGAATTCCTGCGAATAATCTACTACTTCTTGAAAGATTTCCTCAGAGTATATGTTGAACAGCAGAATAGTATACATCCCTGTGGTACCCCACGTTTAATTTTGGTATCATGGTATTCTCCTGCCTCTGTACGGATATACGATTTTGATTCCAGTAAAGACTTCATGTAGTTTTCAGCTACTTGTTTTTAGGTACTTATTGATAGCAGCCAAGGTATTGGATTGTAGCTTGCTACATGTGGTCCATTAAACGATTTGGGTGTCCTACCAAAAAGAGGGACAAGACGGATTTTTCACTATAAAACAAGAACCACAACAAGAGACCTTGTGTTAGCGACATGAGGTTTTACAAAAATTAATAGATATATAAAAAAATTATTAGTATTGGCAATATTATGGAAACAAATAAAAGATCCTACCTACATATACCATTCATAAGATTGAAAAGAAAAGTGGCTTAGAGGTTAGGATGGTTATGTTAAAAAGAATATTATAAGAAAGACCCTAAATATTGAGTGCTTACCCCAAGATTAGATTAAAGAATATGAATGGGTTTATTAACTAAAACTCCACAAATATCGTCTCCACTAATAAAATCGTCTGTTATTTTGAAGTGAAACTGACAGACGGAAGTTCAGAATTATCAACAAAAAGTTTTTTTTACGACTGGATGTAACAGAAATTTAATATACGGAGTATGAATACTGAGGTATCCAAAGAGTAAATAGGAATAAATAAATAGAATAGAAAAAGATTAATCAGAATATTTAGTTATCGAAAAGTTGAGCGCCAACCATTTTTAAAAGAAAAATAGTATAACAAAACAGAAAGTTAATACGTGAAAAAAACCAAAAGAAATTTAAATAAAATAATTATTTAAAGAAAACTGACAAACATGTGACGTTTATAACATTATAATACATCGCGCTTAAAGGCCCATACACAATACTCAGAGAGTTCCATTAAGATGTTAAACCCTGTCGAAGGTCGGTAAATATACTTATGAATCGGTGAATTGTGTGTAGTTATATTCTTGTAATTAGAAGTAAGTTTTTTTTAATAAACCATTTTTTAGAATTCGACTGTAATAAAAATACATTTTTTTTCGATTTGTTACCCAATCTGATAATGACAGGATTATAAACCAAAAATAAGAAAATATTATCTCATCAATATATGTACTTAAACCATAGTTTTGTTATCGGTATATCAAAATAAAAAGTTCATTATTTTTCTACACAATATTTTTACGACTTTTTAAGTCAACATTATATATAACACGCGTTGGGAAATAATGGAATAAAGATAAAATCTTATCGTATCATCTATAGCTGGAAAATAAGATATATTTGAAATAAACCCCATCCATACCATGTCACAACATTTTTATCACACCGTGAAGATAAGCATCATTTACAGTTTGCATATAATCGAGTATTATACTCTTGAAATCAACGTTGAATGTAATACATTGTAAATTTAATTTTATTTAAATTATATAAAGTGGTGCCAATGTCACCACTCAACTTTTAATACAAATAAATTGAAATAACGGATAATTTAGCACCCGCTGGTCTACAAAAATACAAATTGTTAAAAGTACCACAAAACAGCCTTCTAACTAGGAAGCATTACATGGGAACGATGTAATTAAGAAACGGTTAACCAATATTAACTGTTGGAACATTCAAGAACTGGATCTAAAAAAAATATCAAGCATTTAGAAAAGTTCGTTCAAACGGCATCGGCAGTGATATCGCAGTGCTAAACGAAATTAAAAATAAGGAAGACTGGAGCAGCTGTCTCGGCGAACACATATAGAGTCATAGTAGTGGCGTTAAAAAAATATTTAATTTTAAACTCATCATCATCATCATGATCTTTGGCTTGATAATCCTCCGTGGATCCTGGCCTGGTCTAAGATTAGTCGCCATTCTATTCGGTTTCTGGCAACTTGTTGCCATCTTCTGATCTCGTCGGTCTCAACTCCATCTAACCACCTAATTCGCGGTCGGCCCCTGCTTCTTCTTCCTATAGGTGTTCCTGTCATTGGTTTTTTAGCAATCATTGTTATCAGTGATTCGTATTATGTGTCCGACGCATCTAAGTCGCTGTCTTTTATGAACGTTACGATATCTGGTTCATTTAAGAGTTGGTATAATTCGAAATTAATTCTTATGTGTCACTGCCCTTGATCGTTTATAGCACCAAATATTTTGCGGAGTATCTTACACTCGAATATTCCTATATAATATATATATATATATATATATATATATATATATATATATATATATATAGCTCGAATATATGTCTTATATCCTTCTGCGTTAGAGTCCATATTTCCGCTCAGTATATGAGGACCTGCCTCAGCAGTGTTTTGCAAATAATAATTTTATTTTTTCGTTTTATATTTCTTGAGTGGAATTGTTGTTGGAGTCTATAGTATGCCCTATTCGTAAAGTTTATTCGTCTTTTAATTTAATTTTTAAGCTTTTTAATGACTTATGCAAACTCTTCAATGTTAGATGGTCTTTCGTTTGGGTTGAATATACTCCAATCACAATGATATCGAACTATTGACGCTTGAATCATTAAAAAAACCCTAATTTTCAGCAATTATATTACGCCATATTCACCTTCTAAATACTTTCATTTAATTTTCAATACAGTTACTGGCAAATTTCTGTGCAACCAACTTGATTTAAAAAGTTGATTAAAAAAAATTTTTTTTAATAATCAAAACTTTTCTCTTCAAATGATTTAAATCTGGATGGTAAGGCCGAGGTTAAAAAAAACATCTTTACTTTCTTAAAGTCCTTTCTCAATCATTTAATAAACGTCGATTATCTTGCGTTTTTTTAAATTTCAATTGTTAATTTTATACAATTGTGTAGGGAAAACATTCAGTCACATGAAAACAGATGTTTTCTGTATTTGTTTATATTTGTTTTGTTAAACTATCTATTCCACGAGGCGCAAAAATAATCCAGTAGTTTTACTTACACATTGTTTAATATGTTTTCCATTATTTTCAGGAAACACTTTTGACATAAGTGGGATGCACTTAATTTGTCCACTTGTACACGTAACCGTCTTTATTTTATATAAAAAATCCAATATCCTTTTCTTAACTATTTATTAGAATTCTCTGCTACTCGATTTAAAATATCGATATATTATAATTTATAATTCACTGGTCAGACACATTGATATGATGAAGAATACCTATTCTAGGAATTCTCTTCTTTTGGACAGAACCAAAACAATCCACATGACAATAAAGAAGAACATACAAATATTGGTATATAATATCAGCAGATTACTCAGATTTAAACAGAAGACGTATTCTTTCTATGGAGTTATACAAAACTAAAAATAAATAAGAAATTGTTCTGTTAAGTGACTAGAAAAAAGATTGGGCAACAATAAGACAAAGAAAACAAAAAGGTCGCGTAAAGTTAGAGATAGCTACATTTTCCAATAAGAAGCATGAATACTTTATGTTAATATCTTAAAAACTTCCACTTCTTTATTAATATATTATACTGGTAAGATATATTACAGCGATAGTTTATTTCTTGAGAGGTGAACTGACAACTATCCCTCCGTCTTATTTTTCCCATCCCATTAAGTCTTGTCCTCCACATTATGCTCTTATACCTTATATTTGTTTTCGCTACTTTAGTCATACTTTTGGTTTTATTAGGATATTTTCTCATTTCTATTCCATGTGATAATAAATCTGTGTTTTAGACTTTTTAAATCATTTTCAATAACATTACTACTAGAGTAGTCAATTCCTAGATATTTGAATTGGTGTGTTCTTATTGGCTCTCTAGCTATGGCAAAGTTCGCTACTATATGTTGGAATGTTTGCTGATTCGTTTGTTGTTAATTAGGTATCCCATTTTGAGAGCTTATGCCTTATATTATTTTAACCAGTAATAAATTAAAAAGAAATAAACTTACGCTGTCTTTTTGACTGATTCCTCCCTGTGTCTGATGTGGATAATATAATATTATTCTATGTTAATTACTATTTAACTGGGAATAAGCCACAATTAAAGATAAAAATACGTTTATTGACGTTTCAATTTCCACTTCGGAAATCGTTCTCAAAATACAAACAGTAAATTAAACAAATTTAAAATGCCACAAGAAAATAGCTTCAGAACAATATTATTCTATGTTGTTTCGGTTCCTTCTTTTATTTTTATTTGCGTTAGTTACATTTAAGCCATTTATTGTTTTATTTTAAACAGTGTGTCTGTTCTATATCGTTCTGACATGTTTTTTTGTCCCCGTTGTATTATTATACTTAATGTATTAGGTAATTCGAGGACGCCATTCATTCAATATGAATCGTTTTATTTCTATCTCATCTATCTCACTTTCATTTCTTCGAAGAAATGTTTCCCATATTTCCAGTTGTAATCTTTCTATTTGGATCTGCTCCAATATTCCCTATTTTCCCTTGATTTTTCGGTGGTCATCTTTTTTATATACATATCTGTGTGACTCCTAAAATACATTGATTTTGTACTTCAAATGTGAATTCTTATTATTGCTGACAATTTTTTGATTTCCTTGTAGAACCATGGTTTTATATTTTTGGTAGCGTAACTGTTATTTCTCCTATTGTTTCCTGTGCGACATAATTCCAAAACGGCAATTCTCCAAGTTCGGTCATATTTTTTTTAACTTGCCTGGAACCTTATTTTGGAGGCCTCTGATGCCTTTCGCTGACAATCATTCTGTTATATTTCTGTATATTTCTTGAAGCCATATTGTCAGTAATTTATCATTGTTTTCTTTCATTAGGATTTGGTCGTTCGAGTCGACCCACATTCAGTCAATTCAGCAAAGAAGCCGAGAAACAAATGATAAGATCCATTGAAGAATGGCGCAAAGAACTGAAATTAAAAGACTTCATCCTGTTGGGTCACAGTATGGGGGGCTTCTTAGCAGCATCCTATTCGATTTCGTATCCCAATAGAGTGAAGCATCTCATTTTGGCTGATCCGTGGGGATTTCCGGAACGTCCCCGAGAATACAATAATATTCCCCTTTGGATCAAAACGGTAGTGTATGTTCTGAAGCCCTTCAATCCTCTTGCAGGAATTCGGGTGGCTGGACCGTTTGGTAAGTAAAAGATGATTGTAGGTATTTCTTATGCGTATATAAAAACCATTCTTTTTGTAGGACCAAAGCTGATCAATACCATAAGACCAGACATTTCAAAGAAGTATGCCATGGCGCTAGAGGACACCAATCTAATACCAGAATATATTTATCAATGTAATTGCCAAAATCCCAGGTAAGATTTATGAAAATTGGTTTTTCTATAAGGCTCTTTTTGCAACTATTTTTATATTTTATGTATTACGGAATATATATTGTTACCTCCACATAGGAAGATCCAACCCGCGCATATAAAGTGTGCCAACTGTACTCCAAGAGGTGAACGTGTTTTTTTTATATAATTAAACGCTATCTCAGAATAAACAACGTACAATAGGTAATTTGTATCTAATAGGTAGATAGTATTTTTTTCATTTATGTTTAATACTTATGAAACTATTAAATAAGTTATTCAGGTGTAGCATAAACTGTTATTATGTAGTAAATTTATGTTGGAACTTTTACCTAACAGTAAATGGAAAAAAGAAAGATATCTTATATTTCTTAATAAGTAAACAATATATTTGGGCCTATTAACGAAAACGAAGTATGTAGATCCAGGTACAACCATGAACTGTACCAACTGTTCATAGAGGCATCGATCTCAGAATTCGTTAAACTTCAGAGACTTTGATGGACTGGTCATGTAGTGAAAATGAAGACTGTAAGATTGTCAAAAAGAGCCCTAGATAGTAAAATGCAGGGCGCGAGACCAAAAGGAAGGCCAAGGTAAAGGTGGCCGGATGAAGAGGCGGCGGACGCGCAAAATTTGCTAGACGTGAGAACCTGAAGAAGATCGGCGCGAGACCGGCAAGGTTGGAGGCATAGTTTGGAGTAGGCCAAGGCTCGATTTGGGATGTAGCACCATTTGGAGAAAAAGAAGTAAACAAACAAATGTAGAAGAGCTCAAAAAGAGCTTTTACAATTACGTAAATGACATTCACCAACATTTAAGAAGTATGTTTTAGATGAAGCAGCAAAAAAGCATTGAGTTATGGTGTTGCGGTTGCTACCATCATTGCGAGCTTAACACCCACTGAACTAATCTGGGCTCAGATGAATAATTTAATACTTTGGTATTAGTGTTTTAGTAGGACCTTGTTTTTACATGAAAAAGGATGATCGTCCTTGGCAGATAGCAAAAAAACACTTGAGTATTACTTATTTTAACTTTTGGATATAAAATCTAAATTGGTCTTATCTTGTCGAAGGGATATAATTTATTCTAGTAAAATATAAATTAGTTGGAACTCACAAGACTTATTTTAATCAAAGCTGATACAAAAATTAATTTTATAATAATTTATGTATATCTACTTACAATTTATATATGTTTAAATTTCTCCTTGTCTCAATCATGAATCATATCGAAGAAAACATTTTGTTAAGGAGTGTTGTTCGAAAAATATATAAGACTACCGAAATATAATACATGCGTGCTTATATGCCTATTCTGCTTTCATCCACTACTGGATGTAGAGCTCCCTTTAATCTTTACAACCTTCGTGGCTTGGTCTTTAGCTAATACGCTTGTGTTGTCGTGGTTATACCGACCACTTTTCTTTCTTATGTTCTCATTAATTCTTAACGTAGCTTATTCTACCATCTTCGTAACGTAACTGAAGTACCACCCTTTGAACGATGACCGACTTTTCTCTGGTCTCTGGACTCTGGTTTTACGGTTATTTCTGAATCCAATACTCGAGTTTACTTTTCTGCATTGTTTGGCGGTTATTGTTTTTGTTGTATCATTACAAATATTGAGAGTGGATAGTCTGTTGGTATGTATCCCATTTCGTATATTTTGTTGAAGATCTGTCAAATTTAATCCATTATATCGATTTTGTCATATTTTTTTCAATGTTTTAGCTTTTACAAATATTTCACAAAGATTTTTTGTTAAAGAAAAGATAATAAATTCATAGCGACAAGATTTCCTTTAAATCCCACATCGAGTATATCACTTTAATTGCGTTTTCAGTATATACGAGGTTTGTTTTTTTAGTTTTGCATATAGCCACTTAGAGGCCGCTACCAATAAAACCTTCCGATACAAATATAACATCAATATTTTATTGACATAAATCCAGAGTTTCATTACGATACAATAAGTCGTATACACACAGTGAATTTTTGAAATAGCAAGTCAGTTTTCGAGCAATAATTTTTAACAATTTTCGGATAGGATTATTCCAACAGCAATGTCTCGCTGAAATGGTTTCTGTGTTTAGGAATGAAGTGTCATACCAGTCAACTATGTCGCACGGGTATTGCCAATTTCAACGTGGTTGCTCCAGTCTCAACGACGACTACAGGCCAGGTCCACCCAAAACAGCAGTCACAAAGTAAAACATTGATGCGGTTCGTCAGAATGACCGTCGCGTCAGGATAATATACCAGGAGATAGAGGCGTCTTGGGACATTTCAAAGACCTCGATGCAAAAGATCCTACATGAAGAACTGGGTATTACGAAGTTCGTTTCCCGTTGGATCTATCATTTGCTCACAGAAGTTGCAAACACATTGCAACGGTTCAACAAAGGAAGCTCAAAAAACTGTTACTGGCGATGTAGTATTGTTACTGGCGATGAATCTTGGATTTACTTCTACGAACCGGAAAATAAACGCCAATCCGCTGTGTGGGTGTTTCACGATGAGGAAAACATAAGTTACGATCATTTTCTATGTCATAGAAAATGGTCGTAGCTTTTGTATCAAAATCTGGCCATGTGGCAACAATTACTTTAGAATATCGAAAAATGGTTACTTCTGATTGGTATATAACCATTTCTTTAACAGAAGTTATCGCGGAACTCCAACAACGCAACACACAACGGCCAATCAACCTACATCAGAAAAATGCAAGTACTCACAATGCCCAAAAGACAATAGAGTTTTTGGAGCTTCAAAACATCGAATTATTAAATCATCCACTGTATAGCCCCGACCTAAGTCCCAACGACTTCTTCACGTTCCCAAAGATCAAGAATTCAATACATGGTCACCATTTCCAGTAGCGAGAAGAAGCCATCGATTCCTTTAAAACAGCGATATTTTAAAAAGCCCTAAAATACTTGAAGTCTATATATTTTTTGTCTTAGAGGGTACTTTATTTGGGTACGCACGAATGCTAGAGGTGACTTGGACATGTGAAAATACTTAAGAGCGTAGGCACAAAATTTCGGCCAATACTTTTTAAATGCATTGATTTTTTTCGAATCCTGAGAAAACTAATAAGTATTTTTGAAAAATTTAAACGCAGAATGAAAGAATACTTTATTATCAAGGGCCGAAAATCCCTGAAAACTTATATAAGCTTTATTTTAGTAAGCTACAGGGGGAAAAAGAAGAGAAAATTAAGTGTGATTTTTAATTTAAAATATCTCATTCAAAAGAAACTGTTAGTTTATTCTAAGAGACTTTCGGCTCTCGGTAATATTGTAATTTTTCATTTTGCGTTTAATTTTTTTAAAAATATTGACTAGTTTTCTCCTGAGAAAACTAAAGGATTCGAAAAAAATAAATACATTTAAAAGCATTGTCCCGAAATTTTGCGCCTACATTCCTAATGGAAAAATGGGCTAAACTTAATAATTTTATGAAAAACACTTCAAACTTTTTTATTGTTTAGGTAATTTTTAGCTACTTATTTAGGGTATATTATCGTTTATTATTCAAAACATACTACGTTTGTATTAAAAACAGAATTTAACTTTATAATAATTATGTCGTGAAGTACTTACGTAACCTATTTACATAACCCATATTATAGCGTTTTTTATCCGTACTTAATATTTACAAAATAATTTCATTCAAATCGTTTTTTTTGACCTATATTAAGAAATTAATCATTTATCTACTTAATGTATTAATTTGTTTGCTGTGAATTTGCACGTGCCATCATTTAATCATAATTTTATCGGTTCAGGAGTCATATACACGGTGAATAATTAATGATAGGCTTTAGAGAAAATAAATCATAATATGTAAAATGAAAAATAATGAAAAGGTTTCGTATTTTAAGAGATATGAGTGTAAAAATAGAGAAAACCAAGTACCTAAAGACATATAAAAATGGAGTAGATATTTTCAGGCATTAAATGTCCTCGATGTAAAAGATATGAAAATAAAGTAAAAACGTATGTTGTGTGCATAAAGTATTTGTTCATTGTTATTGTTTTCACTCTTTTCGTTCATTATAATTTCGATCATTAAAGTTTAGTGTTATATGTATATAAATTTAGTGATTTAATAATTACTATTATTAAAGTAGGTTTACTGTGCATATAGGTGAAGGGTTACATAGGTTAATTTTACTTTGTATCTGTAAATATTATTAAAGTTAAGTAGGGATTAAATTGGGTTGTACGTACCAGATGTTTTATTAGTAGCTTTTTTTGCTTTCAGAAATTGAGCAACCCTTGCAGCAGTATAATACTTGCTTGCAAATTGGCCGAATCCTTCCTTAAGTCTAATAGGTCATTCTCCGACATAGCTTGCTAGCCAACCTTTAATGTTACATTTATATATTTCTTCTTCTTCTTACGGTGCCTATCCGTTCCGGATGTTGGCGATCAGCATAGGTATCCTAACTTTACTTGTAGGTATTCGGAATAGTCCTGTTGTAGACATATTGAACCACTTCCTTAGGTTTTGAAGCCCAAATATTCTTCTTCTCCCTGGTCCTCTCTTACCAAATACTTTGCCCTGAAGAATGAGTTGCAATAAGCCATATGTCTGTTCATTTCTCATAACATGGCCAAGATATTCTAATTTGCGCTCTTTGATTGTGTTAGTCATCTCGTATTCCTTGCTCATTCTACGTAGGACCTCAATATTAGTCTATATTCCTGGCTTTATTATATGGCTCCATTTCATCACCTTCATAGTTTCTACTTCTTGTTACTATTGTTATCTTGGTGCATCAAAGTACATTTCATAGTTTGCTATATTGGTAAAACAACGGCCCATTCCCATTTAATACATTTCTTGTTTCATTGGCCTGTCTTGTCAGGCCTCACCGACATAAAAGTACAACATAAACTTTGTATTTTTTATTGATAAAATTGAAACCCTATATACACTAACATTTCTACTAATAAAAATATAATTTCTCTGCAAATTTTGAAAAAAAAAAAGATAAAAAAAGTTTGCAGATATTGCAGAAAAAAGAGAATTTTTTTAAAATTCGGTGTCTTGCCTGTGTATTGTACAGCTAGTCCCTAAAAAAAACTGATACAACTCTTAGTAAGATTTGATCATTTTGGGCAGTGGATTTGATTGGTCTGACATTATATTATATTTATGATGACAGACGATAAAATAAACAAACAACAAACAATTGATTACGTGTGTTAATTCATAAATTGTAATAATTATTAAGGTCTAAGTTTTGATATTATTTTGAATTCCTGCATTTTATAAAGAATACATAAATGATAGTTTTTACATAAAATAGTTGATTTTATTATTATTAAGGAATAAAACAAACGACTTTACTCAACAATATATTAAAGCAAGAATTGTAACCAAATTAAAAGATAACTGGGCACTATCAGAGGCAGCAAAACATTTTAACATAAGCAGAACCACAGATTTTCTATTAATAAAAAATGGAGGGAACAAGAAACTCTCAAAAGAAAGCGAGGATCTGGAAGACCAAAACTGCTAAATTTAGGTATGTAAAAATAACATTAATATTTTTTTAAATCTCCATCGACATTGATAACAGCTTGTAGTCTTCGGTCCATCTGCATAAAAGGAACTATGAAATTGTCTTGTTCAGAGAGCTCTTCCCAAACCTGTTGTATACCGTGGCACGGCTCTTCAGCATTTTGAGGTATAAAATTACGCCGATACAACAGTAGTTTGTAATAACCTCCCACACATTATCGATTAGGATTAAATCTGGACTGTAGCTGGGCCATGGTAAGGTTTCGATGTTGTTATTCTGGAGCCACTGGTTTATTATATTTGCAGTGTGAACTGGACAATTATCTTGTTGAAGGATAAAATGATTTTCTGGATACAACTGTTCTATACTGGTAAACATGATGTCAGAATATTTAGATAAGTCTGCCCAAAAACCTGCTATCAATACGCCATACCATTCCCATTCCTCTAGATGAAATCCATTCCCATACTTTGGCGCCACAATAACCAGCTGCTTGATATCTATCAACGTATAGAGGATTAAAATTATTATTATATGGTCTATACACCCCAATTTTGCCGTTTTTAGAAAATTGAAAAAAATTTCTCATCTGTAAATATTACCCTGTCCCAAAAATCTTGATTTTGCAGCTGATGATTTAAAGCAAATATAAGTCTTAATTGCTTGTGTTGTGGTGTGAGAGCTTGATTTTTTGTTGCAGTTCGCTTCTTTGCAGTTCGCTACCTTTGGTCTTCCAGAACCTTGCTTTCTTTCGATAGTTTTCTTAATCTTTCCATCTTTTATTAATAATAAAAACTGTTGTTTTGCTTACGTTAAAAGGGTTCGCTACGGCAGATAGTGACCAACCATCTTCTAATTTCGTTACAATTCTTGCTTTTCGTTCTTTGCTAGCGTGTGGAGCCATTTTTTGAGATTGTAACAGAATAAGTTATCTAGCAAATTTTAAGATTTGGCAGTGACAGTATGTAATATTTACATATTACAAAATACACTGCTCAATTTTCTACAAAATACGCTTTAAGAGCCGTATCAGTTTTTTAGGAACTAGCTGTATATATAAAAGACAGAATTTGATTACCAATATTTTCTATTAGGACTGTTTTTTTTAAATTGTTTGGTAATTATTACGTTATTTTTCATTTAAAATGGAATATCTACTTTTGGGCTTCCTGTTCATATTTCGTTGTAAACTAAAAATAAAGGCAAAATGCAAAAAATATTGAGAATATTTGTATGCTTGTTTATTTCTAACAAATCTTGAATATTACAATTATATTGAATCAGCAAACGCTACTATTATAGAAATACACAACGGTACAATACTTTAAGAATATTTATTTCATTTTTATTTATTTTTTTTTTCGGAATTTTTCATTTTGTGCCTCACAGGCTAACCCGTATTTTCGTATAATTTCACTTCGCCCGTCCGCTGGAGGTTGCTAATATTTACTATCTTTTAGTGGCGAAGGTGCCTATCATGCCATGATGGCAGATTTTGGATGGGCAAAAAATCCAATGGTTAGACGGATCGACAAGCTCAGACAAGACTTACCAATTACTCTCTTATATGGATCTCGGTCGTGGGTGGACCATTCTGCAGGCGAAATTCTCAAAGAAAAACGAGTCAACTCCGTTTTCAAATTACAAGTAAGTGAAATGTATCAGACCTTACTAAATAAATAAACTGTATTAACATAACCCAACGTACCAAACCACAACGTTGAATGAGAAGTAGTATGATTTGCAGAATCAATAAAAACGAAAAGGAAACCCGAAGAAAATATAACACACAATTCTAATTAGACGATTTAGAGAAACGTTACCTAATTCTTCTTCTTCTTTATAAGCAATTCTGCTTGTTCATTGGCGGATTAATACCTCTATGTGTCTCTTTCCATATATTTATAACAACACTATTAGAATGTACTTCTACACCAATTTGATTATTGTAAAATGACTTGCAGTTTGACCAAATCAATTCAATACCGTTGAATTCGCAGTGATAAGAAGGTACTCTCAACACTTCATGGCCGTGTTTTCTAGTAGCTCATCAATTATATACACACTCTCTTTACTGTTAATTTTCGCTTGTGATAATTCAAATTTTGTGAGTTTTGCCTTATATTTGATCTTTTGTGTGTCAACGAGGTCATAATTTCCAAATAGTAGAAAGTTGCTTTTCTAAAAGCACACTGTGTTATGGAGCATTATCCAACACAATTAATCTTCTAAATTGGGAATTAATTGTTCACTTATCCATTTAGTGAAAATTTGATTCTTAAAATAATATACTTGCTTCAGTAACAAATCCTTTCTAAGAACCAGCGTGAACAATTATAAAACGTTTACTATCATACCCTTTTGGTTTACCTGCACTTTTAGCATTATTGTCTTACCAGGAAATTGTTTTATTTACTTTTGAAATACCAGCCAGGCCTGGTATCAACCTGGGATTTGGCCCTTTTTTCGAGACGGGATGTGTACGTTCCCTCAAAGTGGCATCCTATATAATAATATAATGATCTGATAGCACAGAAAACGTTCTGAAATTTTTAATCCTTTTGGATAATTTAAAATTTTAATCACTATATACCATTATACATCAGAAGTTTTTGATTCATTGTAAGTTTGTTTATTTCTTATTTCTTTATGCAAAAATGGTTTCAGTTAAATTGATTAAAGCTTTGCAGAGAGATAGATTTGATAATCTGATCAAAAGTATTTGGTGTCCAAAGACTGCGAAATCAATTGTTTCTGAGTTATAGAGCTTCAAAGTGTTTTTGACAGGAAAATATGGTCTCTCTTACCATATTCGTGTTTATTGAGATTTAGATGCCGTATATTGAACGTGTGGGACGACACGTTTCCAAATTCATGATTTTGAAAAAAACCGACATTTTGAATCTCTAACTCTTTGCAAAGTTTTAGCCAATTTAACTGATACCTACATAAGATACGTGCCGGGGACCTTTGAAGCCCCTTTTTCTTTATCCAATTTTGAAGAGTTGTCTCACAGCAGTTCATGTTCCGACCGGTTGTTTCCAATTTCTTTCTTATTATTTCTATTATAGGTATTTCATTGCTTCTGTAGCAATCGTATATTGTGGTTTTCAATTGTTTTATAAGTGAAACATATCTAAGTCTTAAAAATTTGTAGTCGCATAGCTTCTTACGATGATAGTATGCGTTTTTAACTATTTTGTAGAGACTGGCTGAATGACAATTGTCCAAGCCAAGCAAAAAAACAACTATTTTGTATATAGTTGAAAGTGGAATTTCTGTTAAATCAGAAGTTGCTTGTACCAACAGTTTTTCCTCGAAACCGAATTTTTTTGTGGATTTTTGTAGATTCTCAGATTTCTCGAGCAAATACACAAAAACTCGTTCTGTAAACACAACTGTTACTTTGCGAAAAGAAAAGCAATTAATCGAAAAAATAGTATAATTGAGACTGAGTTAGGCCAAATGATTTGCACACACAACACAAAGAATTTTATGAACATTTCTCATACTTGCAATGGAGGATTTAACGACAAATTACTACGTATTTATAAACCTTTATATTTCAGGTGGTATCAGGTGCTGGCCATTACGTTTACGCCGACAAACCAGAAGCTTTCAATCAAATAGTCCTGGATGCATGTGCTTACACCGATTCCGAAGAAAAACGTCCCTTAGCAATAGAATCCGGTAAAGGAGTAGAATCAGATGTACCAGAAAGTGATATCAAACAGTGATTATTTAATTTTGTATTATATTCAGGAAACTAATCTATAAAAATAACTATTTATTTTATATATCGTGACTTTAATTAATTGTACGACTAAGTTTTCCTAAAATCATCATTGCAGATCTATCAATTTTAAGCTATTGCGACCACATAGTGTTGTAAAATCTCTCAAGTAGAAGAATAATAGTAATAATAGTAATAACGATAATCATGCTAGAGTTAATGAACTTATTATTATATTGAACATTTCAATTTCTTTATTCGACAAAATACAAAAAGTTGCTATTTTCTATTTTCGTATAGAAATTGTTCTATCTCTTTCTAGATATTTTAACTTATCAGTAGTTAAAAAATAATCTCATGCCATTGATAAAATACTGTGGTAACGATAAATGTTTTATTGTGTTTTGTGCATATAAAATACATTAACAATAATAAAGATTACACCTACTACGCTTGTATTGAAAATACAAGTTTTTACAAGAATAAATACATCACAAAAATTTTGATTGCCATATTATAGCACGTCTATTACATTGCCTTCTCATTGATGACGTACAACGAAAGTTATAAAGAAAAATTCTAGAACTTTTAACAATGTTGTTTACTTTAAAAAATAGTTACCATTATTAAAAAAAAATTTATAGTTGATAAGAGAGCAAAATTTTAAAAGACATTCAAAAGCTATCTACCCAAAAGTTCGTTATATCAGGTATTCAATGTACCTACTGACTAGTAACCGTCAAAATTAACATGAAATAAGTAAACAAATAAGTATTTAAAAAAGTTTAAAAAAAATCTATTAACATCGAAATAATGTAAAAAATAGATTAAGTTGTAAAAAATAGATTAAGTTATACTCGGTTTGTGGATCCCAGTTCCAACTATCTAGTGAATTTAGTAATTATTTTTTTGCTTCGTTGGTAAAATTTTGACGTCGACAAGAAGTGGCTGGAAATTACTACACAACTTAGCAAACACATATTAATTGTAACTTAAAGGTAAAAAAAATATTGATATGCAGTTTATTAACGAAATAATACTACAACAATTAAAACCAAGGTTAAAATGTTTTTTTACAAATGGAAAGATTAGTAGTTACCAAGAAGTTTTTGCGCAATCACCATGTATTTGGTGTAAATATAGTAGGTACTCCCACTGCCAAAAACTTAGTAAATAAAATAAAATTTTAAAACTAATTACCGATCAATCAATATTTTGCCATTCAGAATAATTTTCTTGAGTTGTATACATTTTTGCTATTTGTAGAACACATATTATAAAAGATACTTACAGTCTTGGTAAAATATTGATAACAAAAATAAAATTATTTATTGTAAAAAAAATAAAGAATATTTTGGGGAAATAAATTCGACAAAATTAGGCCATCAATTACGACATATTTCATTGTTATGGTATTTTCGTATGATCCAACATAAACATCGTTTTTTTAGATTGCAAAATAAGGCTGTATAATTAACTACGAAATCAGAATTTAGTAAGGCAATACTATGAATTAGTCTACAATTGACACCGTTATGTTTGACATTCTAGAATTGCAATATAGGTTTTTTTACTCACACAACTGTATAGACGAGTTTGACAGTTGAAGTGTGTAGTATGAGATATTACAAAAAGATTCTCATCTAGAGATTCATTAGTGGAACTATTTTTAAATAAACAATCAAAACGTCAAACTCATTATTTCGCTTATAACTTAAAAACTTATTTATTTAGAGATTTGACGCCAACAGACAACTTTGTTTTGGAAAAAAAGATACACAAAATGGGATATGCTAAATTAAAATCGGTTAATAAACAAAATAAATATTGTAAAATGGCCAACAAAGTCGCTGTTTTTGAATATTGTTAATAACTTCTTTATTAAAATTTGTTTAAATGTATCTGAAATTTAGGGTCGTTTTTGAGTTGTGTACAAAAGATGGACGACTGGTTGAATAGTTTTTAAATTTAATTTATCAATTTAATTTAATATATCAAACCTGTCGATACAGTTTTGACGAGAAAAGATTTATTTTTTACTCACTTAATTGGTCTAAAGCTCAGTGAAGTGACTATATCAAATTTAAGTATTAAAAAACACCTAAACAAGTGTTAAAAATAAAAAATTAAACAGTGTTGTTATCTTTGGAAATAATTAACGCACAAAAGATAAATCATTTGTTGATTGAATTAAAAAAGAAAAATAATTATTTATACACCTACTAACTTTCTCCAAGTAATTTTTTTAAGTTCCTCGCATAAAACGAATTCCACTAGACTTTTTTTCTACGACAGAAGTCATTGTCTTTTTAAGTTAATGTTTACAATTAATTAATGGCACCATTGAATTCTGCTAATAAATAATTAATATATTTGTTATATTCGCTTTATTGTATTGTTTTAAATTATGTCAGGAGAAAGGGCTGTGATACAGTACAAGGATTGCAAATAAATGTTTTTGATATATTATGTATTTTAATTTATATATTTTCACTATGTGATACATGGGTGATAGCTAGGACCGATTTATGGAGTTTCCCGATCTCCTATTTATTTCTATTCATAATTGAGAATAAATGTAACATGAATTCTAATTTAAAATGTCCAAGCGTCTAATGTAAAAATCAAGTGGAAGCCCCAGTTCTGCTCAACATAATTTGAAAAGCATTCATTCCAAAAGAAATACTTTCGATTCCAAAGAACCTGCAACCGGTTTTAACAAATGCTTCGAATTAAAGAGCATCCTCAAACAAAGGGTGAAGTACATCCTCACCAGCAGTTACTACCATAGGATCGATCCTCCTCCTCATACCTTGAGCCCTTGTCGGGGCGTAGGGACACTCTAAATATTGCTGTCTCTAAGCTTGTTGTCTCCATTGTGGCTGCGGTCCTGTGCCATATGGACGACTTCTTGTAGGGATTTTCCCGCCAGAGACTTCATTTGGTCTGCCCATCGTGTTGGAGATCTTCCTCTTGGTCTTCGGCCTTCTACCTTTCCTTCTACTACCAATAGTTCCATGGTCCTGTTCTTCTAGCTATGTGGCCGAAGTAAATTACGTTTTAGTCGGCACGCCCTTCTAGTAGGGATCTATGGAGGAGTATCACAGAGACGCAAGCCCTTATCTCTTGCCGTACTGCTCCACCATAGGCCGATCAGACACCAGCATATTCTAGTCTAAGCCGCAGATTCATCTAGAATTTTAAACTGCTCCGGTAGCCTTTTTATTTTTCTGTACACCGAGCTGGGCTCGAACCCATCCCGAACCTTTGCGTGAACGATGAGAATCGCCGCCTAGCCGCTTGCTATCGACCGACATTTTTTAATAGCCTATCTTTTATATGAAGCTTTTCCGGAATTGAAAGGTTGGTTCTATGTTCTGTCCAGGACACGCGTAGAATTTTCTTCTAGGCCCACATTTTGAAGGATTCGATGTTACTCCTATCGATTTTTTTAAGAGTCCATGTTTCAGCTGCGTATGTAACAATGGGAAAAATAAGGACCTTGACGAATCTGAGCTCAGTATTCCTTGTTATTGTTGGATCTTTTCATATTTTAATGAGTTTAGTTGTTGCGGTTCGGGCCATTGCTAGTCTACGTTTAATTTCTGCCACTTGGTGTATGTGGGGTAGATTATTATTATTTGCTCTGTCTACAATCATTATTTTTGTTTTTCTGGTGTGCTAAATCCGAATTCTTCGCTTATCAGGCTGCCGTCAGTGATGGTAATCATTTCGACTTATTCGCTGCTATTAGTGTGTCTTCTCGTATCACAGTTGCTGATTTTCTGTCTCATATGATTTCTTCATCGTTCACATATCACGTCTCTCTTATAGAGCAAGTATTCTTGTAAACAGACGAAATCCAGTAGAAACAGGCCACATAATTATTGTAATCAGATGGATCAAACTAAAATGTGACAGAGGGGAGATGAGTACAGAGAAGTCTTAAGAAAAGAATTTGTGGAACATTATCAACAAAAATATTCCGACATGAACACAATTAATAAAGAAATGCAACGAAAGCTCTTGAAAGCAGGATTGACTGTGGAAAAGAAAACGAAAAATAAAGAAGACAGAAGGTTGATGGAAAAGCGACGCACATTTTCTAAGCGAAGGAAAGCGAAACACCGATGGTTTCAAAGGATTGAATAAACAAATAAAGAAGGGAGTAAAGGAAGATTTAAGGATTTACAATGAAAACAAGGTAGAAAAAATAATAGAGAAGAACTGAGTCCTGAAAGGCTTAAGATAATTATTTCAAGCTCCGGAAAAAGTAGATCTTAAGATGAACTTGAAAAAAACAAAAATATTGACAAATACACCGAACATTAGAGAAATATCTTTGAACGACATAAATTTAGAAACAGTAAGTGAATACATCTACCTGGGACAGATAATGAAAGTTAACAAAGAAAATCAAACTGCCGAAATTACCAGAAGAATAGGGTTAGCGTTGGAAAACTGAGTTGGATCTTGAAAAGCGCTAAAATAGAACAATATTGAAAACCAGAATTTACGATCAGTGTAACCTCCCTATACGCACGTTTGGTTCACAGACGTGGACACTCACCAAGTCTAATATGGATAAAATATTAAAGGCACAAAGAGCGATGGAAAGATCAATGCTCGGGGTGAGACTTATAGACAAAAAAAAACAAACAAATGGATTAGAAGCAAAACCAAAGTAAAAGGCGCAGGAGAACATGTTGCCAAATTAATGACACTTTTTTATTCCATTCCACGTTTTATTTATGCCTTCTAATATTTACGGTTTTTGTTGATTGTGTTACGCTATTTATTCCTTTGGAGTGTACTCTGAGGAAGATAATCAAGTGGTTTTCCCTTGCCTGTCGATCGTAGGTTTACTCGGTTGAATCATTATGTGATACTCGCATATGAGTGTCGATATCCAGTTAAGAGCCTCATTCCACTGCACTCTTGATACAGCAATGGCATAACTGCTGTCCTATGCCATTCCTCAGTTGATCCACGGGTGTTTATTTGGTAAGACCTAGATTAAAAATACCGACAAATCGATATTTACTTTCTACCTATCGTCATTAATAAAATCTGACAGAAGAACAAGAGGAATCAAATCAAGCCAAAAAACTTAACAAACAACTGTTTTTAAAGCTTCTGAACCACCAAAGTTATACAACTTTCGTTAAATAGTAGACAATTAATGTTTCTTCGTCAATAAAATATGGCACAGTCCTAACAGACTATGACATTTCAATTTCTTTAATTTTAAAAGTTGTAACGAAGCTGTACTTTCAAGTTAACCCCATGTGTAGAGATTATTTTTATGGCTCTGAATACGTCAAGTGTGTATGCTTAAAAATTCCCCTTAATAAATTATGTTTGGGTTAGAATAGTTATAAGTTCCCAATCACTTTTCAAAATTTAATTAGTTTTGGCCATGATTAAAGTAAAGTAGTAAGACATTCTCATGGAAACAGAACACCCTTTTTTCAATTAGCTTTGGGTAACTTATAAAAGAGTAAAACCCAATTTCAGTCTCAATTGTCAGCCAGTATTATAAGTCTGACTATAATATAGTTTAGTTGTGATTGAAAACTCACATATTATGATGTGATAAGTTTATATCATCCTCTGTTTGTTAATTTACTCCGTATAAAGTATAATTTTCTATCTTCCATACGGTTGCTTCTCTGAAGCCGATAACGGACAGTTCAATTTTTTTTGTTCTACCATCTGATTTCTGCCGACGGCGTTGCGGCACTTCAATTCGTATTTTGGTTTACTATAGAAGGGATTCCGACCGGGTATGTATCTTTTCCTTTTGTTTAGACATCTGGTATTCTCTAGGCCGATCGCCACGTCTGCGAATGTCGTCGAACTGTAATATGAGTGTTGAGACTAGTTTGATGATTTTTTTGCTTTATCCTATTAGTATTAAGTATATGAATTATGGAAATTCTCTGGTTTTTGGTAGCATAATTTTAAGATAAACGAAACAATGACATATCAAATTCGATTCCATCGTGCAGCCTTTGATCTTTTTAATTATCATTTTTTTGTGTCTGGAAACTTTAACTAAATTAATTTACGTTTACATTTTTTAGTTAAAGACTTCAATCCGTTTTAAACAAGATTATTAACAAAACAATGGCCATTATCTATTTTTTAAGTTAATATGTATTTAATTTCTTAGAAGACTAAATAAATATATTTTTGAAAAGTTTACTATTTTCTGCGCATTATTTTATTGACGATATAACTTTTTTTACAGATTATGGGTAATTTAAATTTTTATAGTTGTTTTTGATCATTCGTTGATATGATTTCTGACGTATATTTTTTATATCTTAAAGGAATGTTAATCTAATGTTTAATTTATTTAATTTCGAGTCCTTTATGACTCTCAGGCTAAGAGTTATTGGCGCCCATTTTGTGTTTACATTTTGCAGTTTAACTGTTTTCAGTGTCTCTTGTTTTTCTTTTGTCAAACTGTTATCAAATTATATCTATCGTTTATCTATCTGTCTTTGATCTGTTATTATTCTATCATCTATATCCTTACCAATAATAAAGCTCCCAAACTGAGCAACGTGTTCTTCATTAAGTCTTGGTGAACGATCAGCTTTTTATTTATCGACTTTTGTTACAGACGGGGAGATGAAAAAGGACTAAGGTGAAATAGTTCGGTATGAAATCTTTTATAGATTAGATTTTCTTCGTGTACCATTCACTTGATACCTTACTGAACTTTTTCTTTATACTTAATATTTAAACCATACTTCCATATATAAGGTACAAAAATTATCTACCAGTGTTTTTAAGCGGCTTATAATTTAGATAAAACAACAAATTTATTATTTTTAATTTTTATTTCAGACGTTCAACATAGTTTTAATTTTAAGATATTTTATAAGAAAAACTTCAAACATAGACCAATAATCCAAGAATAAACCAAGAAAATTGTTTTATTCTAATGTATCACACAGGAACTATCACATTTAAATTAAAATAGTACATTTAAATAATATTTGTATAAAAAAATAAAGCTGTAGATATATACTAGTTTTAAGCGGCCTCCAAGGAAAATTCTAACGAAAGTAGACTATTTCGTTTCTTTTTGAATGGTAACAAGCCACTTATGTTCTCATAAGTGCTCAACTTTGACAGTCTCAATTAGAATTTTCCTAGGCGGTTCTCTGTAACAAATTAGGTGTAACATGATTTTGATTCTTTTTAAATTGATTTGGAAATTTCCAACAGTTTATTACTTTATGTGCCCTGTAGACGGGGACGGGAGTGGCGGCTAGTACTGATAGCCAGAAATAGAGTTCATCAAAACATGTTTTACTTTAGTGGACGTAATTTTACTGAATATTTTGGGAGTAGAAATATCCCTACACACGATGAAAGTAGAGGAAGAGTAATTGGCGGTGACTACAATCTTCGCCTGCATGAACATTTAGATTGGTATAACAGAAACTTAAATCAATAAAAAAACATCCAAAGATATGTAACTTTTGTTACAACACCGCAGAAAATCAATTAAAAACATCTTAATGAATGAAAACTAAAGGAAAATGATATCAAACGATCTAAAATTACGTTCTTACAATGAATTGGAGTGATTTCATTGATAACCATTGAACCTCGATAGTCATTTCGCAAACCGGTATGTATTAGGCACCTATTGGGAAACTGAGTACTATGATGGTAGGTTTAAAAAATAAACATTGCCATTTATTATATACAGCAGAGTTGATCGCAAAATAGTAGTCGAACATGAATTATAAGAATATATGTGCAAATTGACAAATAAAGAAATTAATAGAAAAAGAGGCCATTGAAGGAGAAAAGACGAGAATAAGTTTTCATTAGATTAGTTTCATATGTTTTAATGGAGCAGTAAAGGAATCAAAAGATTTTTTTGTTTATTTTTGATAATATTTTCGTTTTTAAATAACGGCCTTCAAGAAAAATCCAAGCTGAAGGAGGATCAAAAAATAAATGGTTAGTTGGTAAAGATCTATAACAAGACTTTCAACTTTTAAGCCTTAATTAAGATTGCGTACTGACCGTACTGTGGAATACAGCATTTTAAAGCATTAAAAATAATCGACAGATGTGTAAATATCACTAAAGATTTTGGTCTGGCCAATTTACTTAAATATATTGTAAAACCGACGGTTTTTCCGTTAGATTCAAAACGATTTATCCTCCTTTTCCTTATTTTCTATAAAATATACACCAATGATGCACCACGTAACGTCGACATGCGGGTGATGTTGCTACGTTGCTCAAGGAAGAAATTTTAGGTAGATGGGAAATTCTCTTGATACCTTAAAAAACCTGGATGTACAATATGTTAAGAATTCTCTGAAGACGATCCCACAAACACAAATTGAAGAGAGAGCGCCTAGAACATTCACTTGAACTAAAATAACTGGGTGTGAAATTGGCTATAATATTATCTTTTAAAAGTCACTGTTACGAAAGAAAATGAAAAGTATCCTCAAGAATTAACAATACGCAAACTATCTGGAACAAGTAAGGGAGCCCAATCCAACTATCTTTAACAAGTAAGGGAGCCCAATCCAACTGTCTTCCGCACATATATCTTGACACCTTGTTTCAGTGTGAAGCACGTCTGCACATAACCACCAGGTTGACCTAGCTAGATGATTTGGTCAGAATAATTCGAGGGTGTCTAAAACTCACTCCTTTACATATCTAGCAGACCCAAACTCAAAACATCCTTTAAAACTTAAGTCTTGTAAAAACTTAATAAACTGCACAAAGCCAAGTTAAAATACACCCAGGTTCATCGGAAACAACTGTGGGAACGAGTGCTCACACAGTTGACACCAAAGAACCTAGAGACGAGCTGGCATCATAGTATGAATTATCGTACTCTACTTACAGTATTCAGGTAGATTTATATTAAAAACAGGCACAAGAGGATGTTAAAAGATGGGGTTACACAGGGGATCACAGTGCCTTTAGGGAGGTACAAGACAACCACCATCTCCTCAACTGTCTGAATCTGTAAGAATGCTGCGCGCTAATGGCCATGGCGAAAAAAGAGCCATCAATGTGGTGGAGTATTTAAAAAATATAATTTAGAAGCCTAGGTACGTACGCCTTACGACACATGTAAATAAAGCATTTTTAAACATTTACAGACATCATAAAATACTTTTAGGCAGAAAATTCGTATATTTTATCTATACTTTCTATTTACAGTCTCGTATTTATTATTTGCATACCACTAAAATCATCATCTTCTACTAGTCCCTCTATTTTCTTATCCCAATCGTTTTCATTATCACAATTTTTGTTGTTATCTTCTTTTTCTTCGGAATTACACGTTTCAGAATTATCACATTGCTTACATACTTTACAGACGAGTTGGTTAAACAATACTGATTGATCTGCATTGATGTGATGTCCAGCATTAGGTAAAATCTGAAAAAGGAAAAAAATGTTAAAAAATTTTCACTGTAGATCGTAGATAAAGGAGTCGTTTGGCCGTAGACATTTCTACACTGCAGCCTGTAAGATATTTTTTGCATATTCTATATCTTTGTTTAGGGCTTTTGGATAGGTTTTAGCGCCTTTTGTTGATCCTTCTTTAAAGGCGCCCACTCACCAAGAAGGAAGAATGCGCAATTAAGTCTCTGCATGTTTGCTGTAAGGTAAACCCGTACGCTCCACGCCGGCATACACCAGTACTTTTGCTTTCAGTTTAGAAGTACGGTTAAAGTGAACATGACGTCAAAAAACGATCTTTTATTAATGGCAGTGGCGTGTGTTTGTATTAAAGAAAGGTGTCGTATTAAAAGAAAACCAAGGTCGCAATGGACAAAGGCTTGGTTACAAAAACGAGCTACGTACTCTCATGTCAGTTTACTGGACGAATTGCGACTGGATTCATCAGATTGGCATAATTACTTGAGAATGGATCAAGATACGTATTTTGAACTATTATCTTTAGTAACTAAAGGCTATAAAGCCATAAAAGGCTAACTTCTACATTAAGATTTTTGGCAACGGGAAGGAGCTATGATGACTTAAAATTTTCAACAATAATTTCAGCTCAGGCATTAGGTCGAATTATTCCGGAAACATGTGAAGCAATATGTCGTGTATTACAAAAGGAAGTAATGAAGGTACGTTGATTTGCAATGTACATTTTTTTTTTCATTAAAAAAAAATCTTAACTATATAAAATTCCTTTTTATTGAGATTTTCAATAAAGACAAAGAATTGAAAACACAAAAACTGAAACTAGAATCGGTACAGATCATACTAAAAATATTAATATTTCAAAAAAAATATCTTTTACAAATTGCAGAAATCAGTATTATTAGAAAAATTCTTATAATATGTAGCAACGGAATTGCTACATTGCGGAGTGTTGACCCATTGAACTCGATATCTGAATATTGACTTGTTATTGACTTTCACATTGAGGTAATGCAGACACAAGTGGCATATTTACCGAAAGAATAGAATTATCATTAAGCCTTCCTAATTCTGCATTGTAAAGTATATCATTAAACAACTTTTCTGCAAAAATCCTTGTGTTGGTAGGTCTTCTTAATTTGCAAGCTATATTCTTTCCTAATCGATCACTGTATGCTTTATTTTAAATCTGCCATAAACAGGGATAACTTCTGTATAGCTCTATGAATTCCGTAATAAACTCTCTTGGCATGCACCTTATATCACTGCAACATCCAACGAACAGTCGTACAGTACAGCACTGATTGAAAATGAAACATGCAGAGACTTGTTGCCCATACACTCTCATTCTTCCCGCGCGATGATAATTGCACACGCTAAAAATCAAGACAATCCTGATTTTGAGAGGCATGGTTGCGCATTCCACATTTTTCGCCATACACACACACTTTTAACTGTACCCCGTGCCATGCACATTCAATCCTTTGCGCTTCCTTCTGAGTGAGTAAATTTTTTCCTGGCTGAGCCGCTCATGGTCGCTCGATGGACCTTTTCCGGTCCTTGCTGTTGCTAACTACTTTCAATTTCGGAATTATTTCTAGTTCCACAGTTACGGGATGATTAAGGCTTCAATAACTTATTTGGCGCGAATCTAAATTGTAGAAAGGCGTCAACGACGTCCTAAAAATGAAATATTTTAAACATATATACTGACTATTTTGGAAAGAGATTTTTTATCGCGGACTACCTACGGAATGGGTTGCACAGAGGTGGGAAAAAAAAATAAAACCGACTGGAATGTACAAAATAATCCATTGAAAAGTTACATTGAGATTACATTTTTTAGAGGATGCAATTATTTTTTGATGTGTGGGGGTGGTTAATATAAGCTTAAGTTCAGTTTGTGGAGTTGCCACCCTTGTCCCCCTCCGCCATATAGGAAAAAGTTGGACAAAGAGTTTTCGTACTGTATGAATATTTTGTAAAACATTTGTAGTAAATTAAATTGTCTACAACTTTATTTTTATTACTTTTAATCGTGAAATTGAAAATAAAAAAGTTATAAGCAAAAATAACTGAAAATGTTTGAACAATTTTTTTTTTCTAATCATGTAACAATAAAAATACATCAGAGCATTATTATAGAGGGTTTTTTAACGAATAATTTTCACTACAAATTTGTTTAATTCCATTAATTTCTCTGGGTTTTACAGCACTTAAAAGTTGACCGGATTCTTGAATACTAGTAAAAATACTATAAAAAACGAGGCTTAATTTTCTATTATATAGTTTTTTATTCATATAATTCATCATTTTGTTAACATTACTATCTTATTATTAATCTATAATCACCCATTTTCTCTCTCACTCACCCGACCACCTATGAGATAGAGTATGAATAAAAAATACATATATTGTATATATTTTTTAGAGCGCTGAAAAATTTATGTAATTATACAAATTAGTAATGAAAATTATTCTTTGAAAAATCCTCTATAATATTGCTTTTATGTCATTTAATTTTAAAATGACTAGAAAAAAAGTTAGAAGAACCAAAAGAAAATTAATTCAAAAATTTATTTTTGTTAATTTTTTAGTAACTTTTTTATTTTCCAGTTTACGATAAAAAGTTGTAGAAATAAAGTTCTTGACAATTTAATTTGTTACAAATAATTTTTTATCAAGTTTTTTTAGGATTGCTAGTTTGCGAGATACAGCGCGAAAACCCTTTGCACACTTAGTCAAAGAGGGTGGGTATTCAAGAACCCGGTCAACTTCGGAGCGCTGTAAAATCCAGAGAATTATTAAAATTTTAAAAATTTGTCATGAAAATTATTCTTTGAAAAACCTATAATATTGCTTTGATGTCATTTGATTGTAAAACTACGAGAAAAAAGTTATAGGACCCAAAAGAAAATTTGTTCCAAATTTTTTAGGTGTTTTTATACAACTTTTTATTTTTCATTTTACGAAGAAAAGTAATAGAAATAAAGTTGTAGACAATTTAATTAACAACAAATAATATTTGATACAATTTTCTGTAATTAACATTTAAATGGGAAGAAGCCATCAATTAAAGGTTAAAGTAAGTTTATTGACGTTTTAATTACTTCCACTTTGGAAATCGTTCTCAAAATACAAACATTAACAAGAAAATAGCTTCAGTACAATATTGATTTTCTGTAAGGTTGCTAGTTTACGAGATACAACGCGAAAATCCATTGCACCTTTTTTTTTCAAGATGGCGGTCGGTGGATAAGGTTGAAGCCACCACAAACTTGAACTTAAGTTTATACTTACCTCCCAGATCAGAAAAATAAAATCGCCATGGACTATAAGGCGTCAGTGACGTCCTAAAAATGGAGTATGTGAAACATATATCCTGACTAGTTTAAAAGTACAGCTGTCTTATCGCGGGCTACAGACGGAACAGTGGATTACACAGAGGTGTGAAAAAATAAATTAAACGACTGTAATAACATATTGCGCAACCACACACTGCGTGGAGTAGTAAACGTAGTCCCATGCTTGTTTATTAAGAAAATAAAATATGTTTATTAATAAAATCAAATCAAATCGAATATATTGAAATCGAATTGAATCGATTGGGATCGAATCGAATCTATTTTAATCAAATAAAATCGATTGGGATCTAATCAAATCAAATACATGAATTTAAAAACCATCGCTCCGTGCATAGACGTTAAGAAAGCTATGCTTTCCCTTCTCGGTCTCTCCCGGAGTGCAAAATCCCGTTTTTATTAAAGACGAAACCTAAGAACAATAAAAGTGCATATATGTATAAGATACCATGACATAATGTTGTGCCTCAGGTTTCTCATACTTAAATAAGTATTAATGTTAGTTCTAAGATGATTTATTTCATTCCATTTCGCTTCTGTAATTCTGATCTTCTTAAAGTGCAAGTTTTTATAGTGTAAAAAGACTCTTATTACGTAGCACCTTTTATGGGGATACTGTTTACTACAAAAAATCCTCCATCTTGGTGAAGTATAGGCGTGATCTTTGTACTTTTTTTCGGACTACTATTACTATTCATATAAAAGACTTTATATTAGTTTATCATACTGAACCTTATCAAATTCTTTATTGTAATTGTAGCATTTTTTGTCCACTCTGTATATCATATAAAATCCCTAGGGTTTTATTTAACATTTCAAATTGCTTCCTAAAATTTTCTAAAGAGAATAAACAATCCAATTAATTACTTACACTGGCAAATGCCCCTAAGCTTAACCAATCGCTGTTTTTTTCTCATCTGATGATTACTCTGTCACTCCCGCATGGATTTTAAAATTATATATGAATTAAATAAACAACAGCCCGCTTAAGATTCAACGAAGTAGAATATTGCGTTTAAATTAAATTGTCCAATGAAATAGGCGATAGGGCAGGTAATGGGGAGTGTTTGGAAACTAGGATCGCATCGAGGAACATTTGAAAGAACACCGCTTTGTCGACATACTTTGTCGCTTTGCTTCTCTGACAAAGTTTTTGTTTTTATTTTTAAATTCTTCTCTACTAAAGATTAATATAAACTGAAATTTTCTTAATATATCATTCAAAGTATCCAGTAACCAGTGATCTTTTATTTTAAACATTTGTTATAGTGATCATTTTCAAACCGAATCTATTTCGATTCGGTTTGAAAATTCTAATACGATCTTGAGCTTCTATTTCCCATTGTTGTACCCCAATTCTAGATCAATCGGCTTCAACATCATCCTTCCATCTTTTTCTCGGTCGGCCTACTGATCTTCTACCATCTGGTCTTTCAAAAAACACTGTCTTTAACACTCTGTCATCCTCTGATCTTACCACGTGACCTGCCCATCTTATTCGGTTTGCCTTGATATATCTAACTATGTTTTCAGTTCTATACAGAGTCACCAATTCAACATTGCGGCGTCTTCTCCAATCCCCTGTGAATTCATCTCTTTGAGGGCTAAATATTATTCTGAGAATCTTTCTTTCAAATACTAGAAGCTTATTGATTTCTCGCTGGTTGAGAGTCCATGTTTCACTGCCATATGTAATAATTTGGCAAATAATTGACTTGTACAGTGTTAATTTAGATTTTCTTTTTAGTAGCTTCGATCTTAATAATGTTGAAAGGAAGTACTTGTACAGTGTTAATTTAGATTTTCTTTTTAGCAGCTTCGATCTTAATAATGTTGAAAGGAAGTATAATGCTCTATTATTTCCCGCAGCTATCCTTGCTGAGACCTCTTTTTTTATGTGGTTGTCAGCTGTGATTATCGCCCCCAGGTTAAACTCCTTTACTACTTCGAAGTTGTGATCATTAATACTGATGATCTGCCTAACTCTTGGTCTTGGATTTTGGTTACTACCATGTATTTTGTCTTTTCTTCATTTATCGGAGACCAGACTACTGTTTCTCCTCGAGCTGTGAAACACCTCTCTCACGTCTCTTGTAGAATGCTTACTGCTCTATATCATCAGCAAAGCCCAGCAACAGTTTTGATCCTTGATCAGCAAATCCTACTGTCAGCTCAGACGATATTTTACTTCTTGCATATTCTACAGCAACGGTGACAAGGGGTCCCTGCTAAGCTGAATTTATACCAAATGGCATCGATGTTCTGCTTCCTATCTTTACATGCGCATATGAGTGTGTCACACACATTTGCGTTAATTCAACTAATTTTCTTGGTATTCCCATTTCTAACATTGCTATCCACAATTTGCTTCTTTTTTGGAATCATATGCTTGCTGGAAATCTATGAAAATGTTGGTTGAATTCCAGTTTTTTTCTAATATTTGTCGGATGGTAAATATCTGATCTATAGTTGACCTTCCAGCACTAAAACCGCATTGGTAGTCGCCTAAAATATCTTCCGAATATGGTGTGAGTCTCTTTAGCAAGATAATTGATAGCAATTTTATATAATGTGCTAATAAGCGATATGCCTCTATAGTTTCGGAATTGTTCTTTGTTTCCTTTCTTATATATGGGAATTATAACACTTCCATTCCATTCTCTAGGCATTTTCTGTTGTTTCCATATTCTTAGAATGATGTCATACAATTTTTGGTATAAAAGGCTTATCCCATCATTTCCTGCTGCTTTATGGTCTTTTAGAGACGCGATCGCATTCTTTACTTCCTTAAGTGTTGATCCTGGTATTTCGATATCTGCAGAATAAAACGTAATATCTGCTTCCTCCGTCTCACGTTCAATATTTAGTAAATTCCGAAATACCTAAGAGCCGGCAGCATTGTGGACGTCTTTAAACCTGAGTATATTTGTTAATCCCCTTGTGTTAATTTTTACGTTACCCAAAATAGTACCCAACTTCTGGGCCTCTTTGAAAGGCTACGTTAAATGCAATCGAGCTTCTTCGGTGCATTTATCATTACGGTAGCCTAATTTAGTTTTTTTTTGTTCCGTACTGTAATTCCTGTGCAAACAAAACATATCGGAAATATAAATATGAGAATTTTCAAGACAACAATAAGGTCAATATTAACAATTATATCAGAGACCCGCACTGATATGAAGAAACGCCTCTAATAACCTTCGAAAGGAAGATAATAAGAAAAAAAATGGTCATGAATCAATAGATGATACATGGAAACATAAGCAATAAAAGCACAGAGGATGGTATGGTCACACTTGGAGAAGAGATAAATTAAATCCCATAAGAACCATACCACTGGACAAAATTTCAAGGGAAATACAGATAATTCCAGGAAAGAGATGAAAACATGGAAATCACGTGAAAGGTAGAAAAAAATTGAGAAAACGCCTGAAATTCTCAACAGGAGACCAAAGCTTGGAAAAAAGTTAGAAAGAGCTTATCTCATGCACTAAAAATGAGTAATTATTAAAAAAAAAATAGTAAAAATATATTTATAATTTCCCCACGCCAATGTATGGTTTCCATGACAACCCCGTCAAGTTATGTCAATATTTTCAAATTAAGGTTATCGTTTCAAAATTACATCAAAATGAAAGTAGCATTTTGTACGGATTTGGACAAAAGTGTAGTATTGGCCAATTGCGAAAAACGAAACTGGATCCAAGTTGGACCGGACGATGAATGGAACATTTATTGGGCCGGCACTCTCACCTGCAGGAGCCTTTTCAGTGTCGACAGCGGCTACAGGATGAACGACAATCAAATAATAAACCATTTCCCAAACCACTATGAAATATCCCGCAAGGATTTGTTAGTGAAAAATATCAAACGGTATCGACGAGACCTAGAAAAAGATTGTAATCCTTTAGCTGAAAGAAGTGAGTCAAAATATCTGTATTTAGACTTTATACCAGTCACTTTTGTGTTACCGGCTGACTATAATATGTTCGTCGAGGAATACCGCAAGGCTCCACAGAGCACCTGGATCATGAAACCGTGCGGAAGATCGCAAGGGGCTGGTATATTTTTGATTAATAAACTATCTAAATTAAAACGGTGGTCTAGGGAGTCAAAAACTCCATTTCAACAACAAATTGGCAAAGAAAGTTATGTTATTTCTAAATATATCGATAATCCCCTATTAATTGGCGGAAAAAAGTTTGATTTAAGACTCTATGTTCTAGTCACTTCTTTCAGACCTCTGAAGGCATATCAATTTCGGTTGGGATTTTGCAGGTTCTGTACTGTAAAGTATGACTCAAGTGTGGCGGAATTAGACAACATGTATATCCATCTAACCAACGTTTCTGTGCAAAAACACGGAGGTGAATACAATTCTCTACACGGCGGAAAACTGAGTGTTCAAAATTTGCGCCTGCATCTGGAAAGCACGAAAGGTAAAAAAATTACGGAAAAACTATTCGACCAAATTAGCTGGTTAATCATCCACTCTCTCAAGGCTATAGCTCCTGTTATCGCTACAGACCGTCATTGCTTCGAATGCTACGGATATGACATCATAATCGACAACAACCTTAAACCGTGGCTCATCGAGGTTAATGCTTCACCTTCACTTACGTCCACCACTGCCAACGATAGAATTCTCAAACACAAGCTTCTGGACAATATCTTCAATATCGTTATACCACCTTCTGGCATGCCTGATGTGCGATGGAACAAGATCCCTTCGCCGCAAGCTCTCGGTGATTTTGAACTTCTCATTGATGAAGACATGGTTGGCCAAAGTGAAGCTGGTGGTGATATAAACATTAAAACGAACAAGTGGAGATAAACTAACTGATGAACGTTTTGTTGTACTAATATTAAAGTTTTAAATATTATGTATATTAAACAATGTGATTAAAAAAAACAAATATATTTTATTTATTTTTATTAAAAAGAAAAGATCACATCTGTACTATATAAATATATATATATATATATATATTTATAAATATATATATTATTAAGACAATATACACCGTAGAAGCACGAAGTTTTTAAATTAGTAAACCCCGCATACTGCCGCAACTTTAAGGTTGTTTCCTGTCATCAGCTATGCACAGATTTACGATAAGAATTCAAATCTAAATACCAACAAAAGTCTCTACATATTTTTCTCACCTAAGTTGAAGCGGTACAAAGGTGATATTTACTCTGCTGACATATTTCTGACTATTTGGTCGTCATCAGTACGGTGCAGATAAGTTAGAATAGAAGCATGGTAACTTGGGAAAGGATCACTACAGGAGCAATGCGATAAATTTGTGCAAATGATGTTAGAAGACTCTAATTAATCCACAAGCTACAACTACCTTAGGAAGGAAATGCCAAACGTTTAAAACAAAATAGAAAAGGTTAATGCGAGTAAATAGTAAAAAGGTAAAATGTATTGTCTCGCCATATTTTACCTTGTTGGGAAAGATGCCCATCTTCTTAACGTGACCCATCTCTATGGACATTGGCGATCATCATGGCCCATTTGACTCTATCTGCAACCGTTCTGAAAAGTTCTGTTGACGTTTTCCCACTCCATTGTCTAAGATTTTTCAACCAGGACGTGCGTCTTCTCCCCGGTCCGCTTTTGCCTTCCACCTTCCCTTGTATGATCTGCCGCATCAATTCGTATTTCTTGTTTCTTAGTATGTGACCAAAGTAGCTCATTTTCTTTTCTTTATAGTGTTGAGTATTTCGTTATATTTTTTCATTCTTCGTAGCGTTTCCGCATTTGTTATGTGTTGTGTCCACGATATTTTCGACATTCTTCGATAGCACCACACTTCAAAGTCTTTTCCCTGTCGCCTCTGTAATTGCCCAGGCCTCAACTCCATACAACAGGACAGAGAACACGTAGCATCTCAATACTCTAGTTCGAATTACAATGTTGAGTTTGCCATTGCATAGTATTGCTTTCAGCTTATTAAAAGCAATTCTAACTATCTCAATACGACGCACATAGGGGTATTTGAACGATTTAGGCGGCCAAAAGTCGATTTTTCAAAAAAATAAATACGTCTACGAAAATATATGCCTGAGGTAAAAGAACCTTCCGAGAATAGTACCCAAGCCCTTCCGACCCCTGACCTCCACTCACATTTGTGCACGGTCAGTCTGAATTAGATCTTATCACCTCGTGCACGTGTATCGGTTCTCGGCGCTCCTATAAACGTTATTTACAAAGTGATATTTTACTTTATTAAGTTTGTTTGTGTAGAAAAAAATCATGGATTCTCAAACAAGAGGTTAGTAGCTTATAATATATATTAAAATCTATTTGATTTATTGGTTTATTAATTTACTTTTATAGCTCTGAAAATAAGTTGTTTTTGATCCAAATTTTCTCAAAAAAAATTATTTGTGTGGTAGATTTTCATTTCTATCGGAATAGATCGGGCAATTATTTTTATTACTATGTATAATTCAATGTTATAGCTATTAGAAAGTCAAAGAATTTGCCACGGATAATCCCGGATGATTAAAAATTTTGTACTTTGAAAATTATAAGGTAATGAGAGAATTAAGGACTTAAATTTTCCGAAAATATTCTTTATCTGTTTTTGCCTTAAACGAAATATTTATTTGTTTTAGGTTCAGGGGGTACATCTGGGATGAAGATTGTAACCAGGAAATACTTGTTCGATCGTATGAGAAATGAAAATTTACCTAATTTAGAAGAAAAACTAAATTGTTTAAAAAATCAACTTTTGTCTAATGAAGACTACACTAATGACCAAATCGGAATACTGAAAAGTAATTTTGCGCATTTCAAGTCAGAAATAAAGAAAAGATGGACGAAAGCCCATAATAGAGAAGATGTATTTCTTAAATATAACGATTCTTGGCTCGAGGGGACCTTTGCGATTCCTGTTACCGATAGTACGGCAAATCGGCCAGGACGACCTCATAAAACTTTTGGAGATCTCAGTGAAAGAAGTAAACGAAGGAGAACACAAGATATTCGCTCCAACTTCGACGAAGATACTCTAGTGCATGCTGCTCAAGTCAAGTTACAAGAAACAGGAAAGAGAGACGCTTCCAATGTACTCAAAGGAATGATATGTTCGCCAACTCGCGCATCAAAATATAAAAAGGCATACAATCACACAAAGTCTTTGAGAGATAAAATTAATCCTTTGACTATCCAGGAAGCCAGCCAAATGTTCATAGACGCAGACCTAACACGAGCACAATATGATGTAATAAGAAGCACGAATAAAAACTTCTTTCCGTGTTACAGTCTGCTACAAAAAGAAAAAAAGAAATGCTATCCGCCACCTGAAGCTTGCACTGTAACTAGCACTAGTGCGGAAGCTAAATTGCAGCCTTTGATCGACCTTACCGTTAGACGATTATCGGAGTACCTAGAAGAAGTTTTACTATCGTTAAAAGAGAAAGAACGAGAAACGCTAAAATTAATTTGCAAATGGGGCTGTGATGGGTCCCAGCAATCGCAGTACAAACAAAAGTTCGATAGTGATGAGGACAGTGATTCCAATATATTTCAAAGCTGCTTTGTTCCTTTAAAATTTGTATGTGGACAAAAAAATGAAAAAACTGTATGGGAAAACCCCACACCCTCTTCTCCTAGGTTTTGTCGGCCAATAAGGTTTAGGTTTGTCAAAGAGACCAGTGATACCACTAAAGAAGAAATTGATTATGTCAATAATTCTATTAACTCGCTTATTGCAACCGATTTTGACTTATGTGGCCAACAATTTAGAGTCAAATATGAATTTATAATGACAATGGTGGACGGAAAGGTCTGCAATGCTGCCACAGGAACTACATCGACAAGCCGATGTTATATTTGCGGTGCTACTTCAAAAGATTTCAATAACTTAGACAGAGCAAACTGTGTTGATGATGGGGCAATTCAATTCGGACTCTCTGTATTACATGCCAGAATAAGAGTATTTGAAAGTATTCTGCATTTGGCGTACAAATTGCCAGTGAAAAAATATAGGGCAAGAAAAACAGAAGCTGAAAAACATTTGGAAAAAGAAAGGAAAAAAGAAATCCAGGAGAGATTTCGTAAAGAAACTGGATTGCTTGTGGACATGCCAAAGGCGAATTTCGGCAATACAAATGACGGAAATACAAGCCGAAGATTTTTCGAGAATCCCCAAGTTGCTTCAGAAATTACAGGTATTAATTTCGAATTAATATACAGACTAAAAGTGATTTTGGAGACTATTTCAAGCGGTCACAAAATTGACCATGATAAATACGATACTTACGCAAAAGAAACTGCTCGTTTATATACAGATCTCTATCCATGGCACCCCATGACGCCCACATTGCACAAAATACTCATGCATGGTGCAATAATTATAAAAAATGCATTATTGCCAATTGGGCAGCTATCTGAAGAAGCCGCAGAAGCGCGAAACAAGCACTTCCGGTCTTATCGCCAAGATTTCGCACGGAAATTTTCAAGAGAAAGCTGCAACAGGGATATTTTCAATCGCCTACTTTTGAGTTCGGACCCTTTGATGAGTTGTAGGAGGCAAATAAAAAAAAGAAAGAAAAGTAGTTTCTTATCTGAAACATTGCAAATGCTGCTACCTACAGATCCCAACCCAGCTGGATACTCTTCCGGAAGCGAAGGAGTAAATGTGCCTTTAGATGATCGTGAAAGTGATACTAGTGATTCTGAGTGATTATTCTTCTTCAGTATATTTGCATCCGCTGCTGGACAAAGGCATTCCCATAAGTGTTTAATTACTATGTTATTAACAGCAATCATAACAAATACTCTAAGATAGTAAGTTATATCGGATTAGGAATATTGTTAATATTTTGATTTCAAAATAATAACAAAAGTATTAAAATAAAGTATATTTTGTTAATAACTTTTTTTTTAATAAAAACTATCCGTCCGGCTTAATAATATCCGTTCAAATACCCCTATGTGCGACGTTTTATTTCCGTACTTCCATCCCATTCTTCATTTAGTTCGCAACCTAAGTACCGATATCTGTGCACCCTGCCTAAAAGTTTTCCTTTAGCATAAACACTGTCTTCCTAGATCTTGTTCTTGCTTACCACCATGATTTTTATTTTATTTATATTCAGTGCCATTCCATACCTTTCGCAATATTGGGTAATGCGATCAACCAAGATCTCTAGTCCTTATCTGCTGTCCGCAAGGAGTATTGTGTCATCTGCGTATCTAAGATTATTCAGAAGTGCTCCGTTAATAAATATGCCTTCATTTACGTCTTCTAATGCCTCTTTAAACAATTCTGAATACATATTAAAAGGGAAAGGGGAAAGCACACATCCTTGTCTTACTCCACGATTTATAGGTATTTCTTTCGATTTTTGTTGGTCTATTCGTATTATGGCTTTCTGATATCGGTATAGATTGGTAATGATGCTCACGTCTTCGTCATCTAATCCTGAGTTCTGCAGTATTTTTGCCATTCCACGGTGTTGTACTTTGTCGAATGCTTTTTCGAAGTCGACTAGACATATGAATACGTCACAATTGACATCTCGACATCGTTCGATTAGTGTTTGTACAGTAAATAATGCTTCTCTGGTGCCAAAGCCTTTTCTGAATCCCAATTGGTTTTCAGCTATTCTATCATCTAGCTTTTTATAGATACGTTCGTGTATCACTCGTAAGAACACTTTTAGAATATGGTTCATCAAGCTAATTGTCCTGTGCTCTTCACACTTCATTGCGTTTGATTTTTTGGGTATTGGAATGAATCTTGATATTAACCATTCTTTCGGAATCTCTCCCGTATAATAAATGTCATTAAATAATTCTATTAGTTTGCCCATATGATTTTTTGTTAATATTCTTAAGATTTCTGTAGGTATTTCATCTGGTCCCATGGCCTTCTCATTTTTTATACGTTTTAGCGCTTTCTCAATTTCGTCTTTGGTGATTAGTGGCCCATTTCTTCCTCTTGGTTCAATGACCCCAATTTTCTCGTCGTCTTCGAATAGCTCTTTTATGTATTCTTCCCATCTGTTTATTTTATCTGTACATTCCGTTATTATCTTGTTATGTTTATCCATGATATTTCCGATACCTTCTTCTTGCATATGCCAGCTGTCTCTTTGATTTTCCGATGTATGTTAAAATTGTCATACTGTTTATCTAACCTTTCTATTTCACACTTTCGTGATTTTCTGTTTGATTATTTTATTAATTTTTTTGTACTGTTTTCGTTTTTATTCTTGTGTGCCCTTCTTTCCGTCATCAATTCTTTTATCTCTTGTGTGATCCATTGTTTAAATGCCAATACATTTATGGTAAATAATGTCAATATATTATTACGTACTGGCACAGTGTATTCTTGTTCATTTTGCTACGACGAAAAGCTAGTTGTTTATTGCTTGTTAACTTAATGAAAAACAAGTTTCTTTCATTTTTCTAATATTAAATTGTTAAAATAGGTTCAAACTTTCTATTTATGCACAGCTCTTAGATATATATGCACCACGTAAAAAGTTATGATTACTAAAACTTAATCTATATCTTCGATTTCTCGACTTATAATTTTTAATAACTTGTAAACTATAAACTTTTTCTATTTTTAATGTATTTTTATGCATACAGGAAGGTACCCAGCGGCCGGACGATTACCTGACTCGAGAATAGCAAGTGTGAAATGCCACGTTTCTGGTAGTGATACTGATAGTAGTGAGATACATGTTTAACTAAGTACATATACAAACAAATTATTAAGTATTACTGGCGACTTACCTCTGCTTTGACGTACGACTCAGGTCTTTGATTTTTCAAATCATCTTCTGGTGTCTTCACTATCCAAGACCTTTCACCATAAATAACTGTAAGCGGTACGTCTTTGCTTAATGTATGATATCTGCGTATCATTGGATGTTTAGCCCATGCTAAGCCTTGTTTCATCGAGTTAAAAGCAGATTCTCCACTGTAAAACAAAAATTTTGTAGGTATTACTTATTTTTTACTAACTTGATTGGTCTAATAAATCTAGTGCTTCAGCACGTAAACCAAGACGAAGTCGAGCGAAGTATTGTTGTTTAGTTAGTTTAAAATTATAAAAATTCATCGCACGAAAATTTCCACGAGTTATTTTGTGAACAGTTGATGGGTTTCATGCTTTATCACGAAAACTAAGACGAAGTCAATCAACGTATTGTTGTTTAGTTAGGCTAACTTTAAAATCGTATAAAATCATCGCAAGAAAATTTTCATGAGAGATTTTTATTTTTTGATTTTGTTTTGAAAAATATTTCCTGCTAAAACCAGGCAACGGATTTTCAATCTGCCAATGTTGTTTACCATAAGAACTGTCAAAATTGATGACAATCATATTTACGAAGTCTAATAACTTCCGTTAGATTACTCTGTATAAAACTTGCAAAACAAGTATACGCGTATAAATACTATAAATGATAAAATTTGCCTTAATTATTCCGCGGCATTTGTAAAATATTTGCTTCTGTAACAGTTGGAAACTGGTTGATCTGATTTTATTTCAGTTTTGTTAACCCTTTTCAAACCGTTTGGGGTTTTTCTTCTAACCATTGGGGATTTTAAACATTTTTTTATTAATAACGTTTACTGGTTTCTTAAAATAAATAGTATGTTCCATAGCCTCAAATGCGTTTTTACTTTTGCAGGTACGGAGGATACAGTTGTCAAAATTATCACAAAAGGCTGCAGAAACAAACTCCATATTTATTTCGCGATATCTACGTAATTTATATCCAAAAAGGTCGAAGCTTTAATATACTTACGATGGATTTTGTGAATTACAGTGGTAAATATATTCTGTTATAAGATCTGTATTGTCAATTGCTGAGCTATATTTGGCAGATATGTCGTTCCTCACTTTACCAACAAGCCATGGACCTGAAAATATGAAATATTCTTATATAGGCGTTTTTATATGCTAAAATTAGTGATTGATGTTAAGTTAATAAAGACACGTTCAAATTCGAAATGATAATCACTCAATATCAATATGATGACTGCTGAGTTGCAAGTTTCTGGAAGTGAGGTACCCCAGTGGGAGATGGTTAGATCAAAAAAATCTGAAGAAGATTAATATTGAGTAATGAAAGAATTGTTTAATTCTTTCAATACTCAAGAAGAGTTAAATTGAAAGTTAAATGAATGTCAGAAGGAATTGGTCTGCGATCCTACCTTTAAATCAACGTTAATAACAAAAAATGGATGGTGATATCCAAGTCAGGCACCTAAAAAGTCTATAGTTTTCAATAAATAATATTCAAACGACTGATAAAGCGTAAGAGAAATTTTGGATTGAAAAATTATCAGCTCGATATTGAACAGTCTAAAATTATACAATGCTTGCTGCAGAAATAGAGAAATTTGTGGCACCTTGTAACGATATGCTTCGTCAGCCATTGCCACGTTCACCCCCGTACAGACAGTCCCATTGCTGAGTTCCACTTCCATCGATGCGCGCTAGAGAAGATGGAAGGCCGATAACCGTATAAAACAGGGTATGCCGCAAAAGAGTATCGAGTTAAACATCAGAGACAAAAAATCAAACAACAACAACAAAGCACAATGAAGACGGTTCGTAGCTCAAAAACATCCAAGGACAATCGCCAATTACAAAGTGGACCCTGTTGCTTAAAGAGGACAAGCTCTATATTATTATATTGTTTTATATTTTACATATTATCAGTGTCATAGTACCGTTCTCTCGGAGGAACCTGTAACCTCTAGAGAGCGCGTCCCCAGGTGGCGGATGGGGGAATGCCCGACCCGGTTTACCGGTGGGTAGGAGGGAAATAAAATACCTCCCGTGGACCAACAGGTAATTCACCGAATGATTGCCGGTATAAGCAATCCCCCACTTATGACCAACGGCTGCGGGCGGATGAGTTAATAAGTGGAAGGGCACTCTTTTGTCCAAGGGTTGGGAAACTGGTCCTAAAGGCGGATGAATCGAAAAATATGTCAACGGCGTAAGGATGCAGAAGGCAACGGGGAACCACTGCATTAAAGACTCGTAGAGTACCCCTAGTAAAGTCATGAATGGCAAATGACAAGTAAAGTAAACAAACTTACTGATTATGGAGCACGGAATCCAAGATCCGGCAGGGGAGGAATAACTGTAGATCACAGGGCCTCCCAGGTCGTAAACCAGAGAAATCCCTGTGGACTTAAGACATTGAAAATAGCAACCTGGAATGTCAGAAGTTTATATGCAAGTGGTAAATTAGGGAACGTGCTGCTTGAAATGGAAAACCTCCAGATTGATGTTTTAGGTATAAGTGACGTACAGTGGCCAGGTTCAGGCAAACAAATTACAAATAATGGAACCATGTATTATTCAGGTAACAACGAGGTCAATCATGGCTATGGTGTTGCTATCTTAGTTGCAAAAAAGGTCAATTACTCTGTGATAAGTTTTACTCCTTATTCTTATAGGATCTTATCAATACAACTACAGTCTAAAAAAGGTACAGTAAATTTTATTCAAGTTTATGCTCCTACGGCAGATAAAGATGACGACGATATCGAACTGTTTTACCATGATTTGGAACAAATCAATGAAGAAACATCACACTACAATAGTAATGGGCGACTTCAATGCCAAAGTTGGCCAGGGAAGAGTGGATGGATATGTGGGGGAATATGGTCTAGGAAATAGAAATGAACGTGGTGACCGTTTGATACAATTTTGCCAGACGGAAGAATTTGTAATAGCTAATACACTTTTTAAGCTACCAAAAAAAAGATTGTATACATGGAAATCTCCCGGTGATACAACGAATAGAATAATCCGAAATCAAATTGACTACAATGATAGCCGCAGACTACCATGGTAACTAGGAAAACAATGCGAAGTTTTAAATTCCATAAAAATCAGGAAATTGGAATACTTGGGGCACATCATGAGAGGTGAAAAGTACGAACTACTAAGGAATATATTGCAGGGTAAAATCAAAGGTAGAAGAAGCGTAGGAAGACGTAAAATCTAGTGGCTACGCCATCTCCGTGAATGGTTTGGATGCAGTTCAATTGAACCATTCAGGCGAGTAACCAATAAAATTATAATTGCCAGAATGATTTCCAATCTCCGATAGGAGTTTAACTTGAAGAAGAAGAAGTGTCATAGTATAGATATTGCACTAATTTTGATTTCTTGTTTCAGGTCTACCTACAAAAAAACACATAAAAACCGGCCTCGGCCACCAAAAAAATTAAAAAATACTAACAAAAAACGGCGCAAGCCAACAAAAAAATTAACAAAAACCCAAAACCCGCGCACGTAGGACCCAACCCCTTGAGCACCAAGTCGCCGAACTGACCGGGACTCAGAGCGAAGACTTGAGGCCCAAGTAAGCAATTTCAGTTCGCGGATAAGCCACATTGAGATAACAGGAATATAGCGACAATGCGCTGTCCTGAGTATTGCATTCGGTTAGGAAACATGTTGGGTTCTATTACCGGACTCTATCGCATGAGTGTTAGGGGAAAGGATAGTCTGGGCATGAGCGCGGTGGGTGACTCTGTTTTTACTCGAGTTAATACACCTCGCTCCAATGAATTGTTACACCCGAACGTAATTCTTAGGGGTGAACAGTTCGCACAGGCTGGGTTTAATTAAATTGCTTGCTTGCTTGCAGAGTATCGAGATTCGCCAGAATGCTGAACTGGTAGAAACTCCACCGAGCCCTTGAGTTCTGACTAAAGGCCAACCGGTACTGCTAGAGTGTTGATCTAGTGGCAGTTCCCAACCCGGTCTTGAAGTGTTGACATTAATTGTATTTTATTTTTCGCAGGATTGGCATTTAAATTATGTACCGGGTTTCTCATTATATTTTGACCCCCACTTATTTTCCTTAATTTCGGGAATACAAAAAAATTTCAAATAAAAGTTGTATTATTTTATCTGTACCGACCAACAATGTAACAACAGACCAAATTTTGTATACAGGGAGCGCCCAATAAAATGCATCTTCAATATTTCAAATGGGACACCCTGTATTTTTTTATAGTTTTGAGTAGCCCTGTATTTCCTAATTACCAATATATAACATTGTGTAGCATTAGTTTTGTTCTGTAATGGCATATGGTACTACAAAAGGGTAACCATAGGTGGCTATGCAACTGACATTTGAAAATGAAACAATTATTAATTTATTATAAACTGTCAGTCCTCATAGCGAAATGGGTTATACTGCAGTTGAAAAAGTAGATATATTCTCCTCAATTTATGTAAAAAATAATAAAAACAAGCAACAACAACAACAACTATCGTAGGAAATAATGATGAAGATCTTAATACTTTGCTTTACTTTGAAGGTAAAAATTAAATACATAAATAATAGATTAAATCCATAATAACATTTTTATTTTAGAAAATTCCGAAACTAGTATAAACAATGCTACTAATGCATTAGAGAAAAGCCGTGCGACGATACATAGAGTTTTAAAAAAGCACAACTATAAGCCGTACAAAATATTACCGGTACAAGAACTTACCGATGTTCATAAGAGTAAGCGTTTACAGTTCTGTCAAGACATGCTTACAAATTTGAACAATGATCCTAATTATTTCTATTGTCAGATCATCCTTACAAATTTGAACAATGATCCCAATTATTTTTAAAACATTTTATGGACAGATGAATCAAATTTTTCAACTTCAGATATTTTTAATAGGTATTTGTGGGAACAGAAAAATAATAGAAAAAGAAAAATTAAGCAAATAAAAAAGTCAGGAAGAAAATCAATAAATGTGTGGTGCGAAATATTTTAAAACAAAATAGTTGGACCATTGTTTTATGATTATAAATTAACCGGAGAATCATATTTGGACACAGTCATTACAGAAGTGGATGAGTGATTAAATCAAAATTATACAGAAAATCAATTAAATAGTATGATATGGCAACAAGATGGAGCACCGCCACATAATATCGCAGCCGTTCAAGAACATTTAAATAATCAATTTAATGTGTGGATCGGCAATAAGGGTATCATTACATGACCACCAAATAGTCCCGACTTAACACCATGTGATAGCTTTTTATGGGGGTTTTTAAAAGAAAAAGTGTATTTTGATTCAAATACAAATATTAACACTATCACGGCAAAAGTTCGCGCGGAAATTGAAAATATAAATGGTCATAATAATACAATATCTGACGCATTAGAAAATTTGAGACGAAGATATTACTTGTGCATTGATAACAATGGACGGCACTTTGACCATCTATTGTAATCTTAAATGTAGTATTGTATCTTAAATGTAGAATTGTATCTTAAATGTAATATTGCAAGTCATTAATTTTGTTGACTTTCTAAATCTATTTTTTTCTTACCTTAGTATAGTATAGTAGTATCATATGCCATTATAGAACAAAACTAATGTTACACTATGTTATATAGTTGTAATCAGGAAATGCAGGGCTACTCAAAACTATAAAAAAATACAGCGTGTCCCATTTGAAATATTGAAGATGCATTTTATTGGGCACTCCTTGTATACAAAATTTGGTCTGTTGCTACACTGTTGGTCGGTACAGATAAAATAATTTAACTTTTATTTGAAACTTTTTTTGTATTCCCGAAATTAAGGAAAATAAGTGGGGGTCAAAATATAATGAGAAACCCTGTACATAGCCTCTGTAATATAATTTATATTGTTATATATTCGTTTCAAATATATTTTTGATTTAATTAAACCTAACTTTTACTGAGTCTGTTGTCTAAAAGAGCTACCCGTCACAACTTTGTAACTGGAAGAAAAACATGCATATTTAGAAATACATAAAAGAATAATAAAAAACTTAATCGAGAAAAAATATGTCCCAACTACACCTAAGATTCATTAATGGACGTTCCCAATTTTGATGATTCCATATGTTACAACTTATAGTAGACAGTCTACAGTCTTACGCTTATAGTAATACCATAAAAAGGTTATCTATGGTTACCGGGTAAAGAAGTAAAATTATTGTGACTTACCCATCGGTCCAGCAGCCCTGATACTAGCCAACGGATTAAACCACGTAAAAGGATATATGGCAAAAATTATAAGTTTAAACCAAAATGGAACGTCTAACTTTGCTGGACGTTCCTGGAACCCCCAAGGATCGGCTAAGATTAAATGTTTTACCCTATTGGGATAGTTTATGGCGTAACTTGTTGCCAGGTATCCACCAAAGCTGTGGCCCAGGAGGATCATATTTTCCAGTTTCATTTGTTTCCTCCACGCTTCTAGGGAGTCTACCATTTGTTGCTCTGCTTCTTCAGCATCACCGCTGAATTTTGGTCGTGACGACCTTCCAAATCCTGAAAATCGAACTGACATTAAAGAATAACTTTTAAAAGTTTAAACATTAATAAAAAAAAATCCATTGTACATTTTACAAACTTGCAACTTGTTTCACTTTTACCTCTTACACTTATATTAATATACATTTTTTAGAGCAATATTAAGTTTGTTTTTTTTTAACCTAGATTTTAGTAAAATTTCCATATTCATTATATTTATACTGTGATATATGTTTCTCCACTATAAAGGTACTTCCGTACCATATCAGTTGCGTTTAAAAGATCTTCTTATGAATGAGACTCAGAACAATAGCTGTTTGGGTTCCAATAAACCGTTACAAAAAATTCCCATATTCATTATTTGGTATTTTGTTGGTTTGTTGGTATTTGTTATATCCCATTATCCTCTTATTTTTTAGTAACGCATATTTTAGACCCTACAACAACATGTTCAATATATTCAAGATTTTTTTAATTTTATGTGAAGTTATTGGTTACTATATTATTATGTTACCACTCTTCAAGTGCCTGTAGTCTACCAATTTCGATATTTTTATGCGTAAAAATGTAAAGTAGATGTCTCAGCCTGTACCTGAAAATAAGTTCTTAAATTAGCAATCTGTTTATCCAATTGCTCATCTATATCCATAAGTCCTCTTCCCCCTTGATACCGCAGTAATGTTGTTATCTCTACTGCACAGCGTCAATGATGTTTTTGCGCCTTTGTGAGAATTGTTCTTACTTTCCGCTGAAGACCATCTATTCCGTTTTTTGACCATTTTATAACACCAAATGAGTAACTCAGCGCGGAACAGGCGTACGTATTTAATGCCTTAAACAAATTTTTACTATTAAGATATGACCGATTTAGTTGTCTTACTCTTCGCACGAACTCCGAAGTTAGTTCAGTTTTCATTTGTTTATGGTCAATTTTCCGCGCTTGTTTTACTCCGAGATATTTGTACATATCGTTTTCACCCATTGCCGCGATATTTTGGCCATTCTGCATATCGAACCTTTCCTCTGACTGTATTTAGTATACGGCACTTGTCTAGTCCAAAATGCATACTGATATCATTTGAGAAGTTTTCTATAGTTTTTAGCATCTGATCTAAGTTGTTTTGAGTGGAAGCCATTAATTTCAAATCATCCATATACAACAAATGATTTAGTTTCGCCACAACAGTATTGTTATTTTTGATGCTAAAACCTGAGTTAAAGTGGGTTCATCGCTAAACAGAACCAAAGAGGACTCAAGGAGTCCTCCTGGAAAAGAACTCGGTTAATTGGGATATCTTCAGTTTCGATGTAGTTTTTAACAGGTATTTGAAGGTGAATTTTAGTCTTCCACTCCTTCATTATATGCTTTAAAAGGTCACTAAATTATCATCGACTTTATATATTTTCAATATATCTATCAGCCATTCATGCGGTACTGAATCAAAGGCCTTCTTGTAGTCGATGCAGGCGGTAATATAAGGCGGTAAGGCGAGTCGATTACAAGTTGTTCTTTGCAGCCCATGGAACCCTGTACAAAGTTGGAAGGTAAGTAATTGGGCGGTACTTAGCTGGATCTTGGGTGTTATTTTGATCCTTCGGTATTAGATAAGTGGTTCCTTGAGTAAGAAATAGTGGTATTTCCTGCGGATTAAAAATAACATGATTAATTAATACTGATAAATGCTCGTGTATACTCCAAAACTTCTTTAGACAGAAGTTTTGAACTCCGTCTGATCCAGGAGATTTCCAATTATGAAGCTCTTTGATAATGTTCGAGATTTCTTCACTGGTGAAAGGTTCATAGGGAACATTACTGTAGTATTGACAGTTTTTCGTCGTTTCTTCAATCCATCCAACATTGTTGTTATGAGTAGCTGGTATCGAAATATGATTTCCCCAAAACTCATGAATTTCTTCTTGGCTTGGGTAGTATTTATTTACATTTTCTACAGTGGAATTCAGTTTCCTATAGAAAGCCTTCTCTATATGCTCAAAAAGTATATTGTCACATTTCCGGTTGTTACTCACTTTGTATCTCCTTAGGAGACCTGAATAAACGGAAAGTTTTTGTTTTAGTGTGTCCAGGCAGTGTCGAGCTGTGTTGTTTTCTGGATCATGTTGTGAGTGTCTTCCAGTGTTCAGAATTATGTCTTTAGATATTTTAACTACTTTTCGAGTTCTTACTCCTCGAATGTATTCCGTAATTTTTCCAATGTCCCTACGCAGTAATTCAATCTTCCTCAGCAGTCGTTTTTCCCAGGGTGCTATTCTGTTACCAGTCCTTCCGATGTTGGTACCCCGTCGTGTTCTGATCTTAATGCCCATAACATTAGCGATTGCTGTTGCTGCACAGTAAATCAGCATATGCAAATATTCCACTGTATGGGCTTCTACGATATAATTGAGTAGGACTTCAGTATTCACAATTTGTAACAGCGCTCCTAGTTTCTTAGAAGAGTTTATTTTTGGTAGCGGTGTTCTGCTAAGTGGGTTTGTTCCACTAAACTGTAATACGGCACGTGCCATCACGTTTACCAGACTATAATAACTATTATTATATTCATAACATATACGTAGAACAAAAAGGTAGTACTTAATTACCGTTTTCATTATCAATTGTAATTTTAATTAAAAATCCAAAGAATTTTATCTACGATATTATTTTTAAAGTGCAAAATACATAATACCCATTACTTATATATAAAATAAGGTACTGGTTACCGTTTTTATTATCCATTATTGTAATTTTTATTAAAATACCAAAGCATTTTATCTAAGGAATTATTTTTAATGTATAAAATACAAAGTGAAAAGAGCACATTAAAAATATTAATAGCACGTCAATATTTTACACAAACAATAATTTTATACAAGCATGAACAAAAATAAATATTCTTTGAGCAAGTTTTCATTGGGCAATGAAAAATTAGAAAAGGTTATTTTATATGAAGAAAATCACATTCGCTCTGACTTATTTCTTTCAACGAGTTCGCAGGAAAAGAAACGTTGAAAAATTGTGAAAAAATATGGCTCTAAATATCTGAAAAACTAATTCAGGCTTGATATCCCGATACATTGGCCCCATGTCATCAATGACTGATTTGCTATGAGATATTAGCGTCAGACAGTTTACGTACGAGTAAATTGTCGCGTCATATAAAAACGAACACTCCCATTTTAAAAATAAACAATACCTACCTATCTTTTTTAAAATAAAATCGTCGGAAATGAAATCTTTAAAAAATATTGTTTCGCGTTTCGTAAATATTAATGAAAATCATCCTTATACCTAAAATCGTATTAGCTGAAGAATCGCCAGAACTGGCAAGCTTTGTAGCTCCAGAGGCTACGAGCTTACGTACTACTTATCGTCTACTTTCATTTCAACTCCATTACTATACGTAAAGAATGCAAATGGTGTTTTGCAATGGCAAACTGTATAAGTTTTTTAGGAATAAACGGTTATTCCTAACATCGTCCAATAGCTTACATTAAACTTGGATTGGCAGTTCACCTAAATCGCTATCGATGGGAAGTCTTCCGACAATTTTTTTCACATAAACATCATTACTAGATGTTATATATTTTGGTGGATGGACACATATATTTTATGTTACTACAACGGCCATATAGATAAACAACATTTAATATCATATCTACTATTATATGAACAAGTTTCATTATATTTCATTATTATATTTTTATACATTTCAGTTTCATTATAAAATTCTTATACATTTTTATCTAAACTTTTCACTTCCCTATGAAATAAAAAAGTGGTACAGTAGACTAGTGAGAAGTACCATGTTTTCTGTAGGTACTATATTTTCTATATCTTTAAATTTTAAACAATATTTTTAAAATTAAAATTTGAATTAAATTTTATTATTTATTTTTTTACTTTACGATTTTTCGATTTTATTTCGATCATCTATTTACAATTTTTTTTTTGATTATAACATTTTTTTCATTTTTTACATTCGAATGTACATAAAACCACTGTTTGTTAATATCCTTGTTATATATTTTAATAAAATTGTAAAAGTTTACACGTTGTATCATGGACTCTCCTCGTTGCGTAAATGGACTCTTGCAACTATTTCCTAGCGCTAATTCGGTCAGGCTCACCTCAGTATTTTACTGTACCGTTTTTAAATAAAACGAGCGGTTCGAATTTATATAAATATATTTATTTATAACTTTACAGTTCGGTACTATCTTATCAACTAAACTTAACTCCTAATATCGTTACATATATATACCAAAGTATTATGTTCGAGAATATTCGGGAGTAGTCCCACCTCTAATTCGTTATTTGACGGGTGGAATTTTACAGCGCTCGATATATCGCCGAAACTTCTCGGTGCTTCGAGATGCGACCGTTAGGCGGGCCAAGCTGAATGCATGTTCGTGACATTACTATAGAGAAAAGTAATACAAATACAAAATTTAAGTGATTATTCAAAATATTTCTGAATACCACCCATTTTATATGTGATATTTTTCCGTATTTTTGCCTGCCACATAGACTTTCTCTTGATTTTCACAACACAATTTCGCATTGATATTGAAGTCGAAGTACTAGAATATTCCGTTTGTCATTTCTAACGTTTGTGTAGGTGCATTCGCAATTGCCACTATCTCTTTTCCATTATAGTGTCTTCTAATAGTATCTCTTTCTCAGGAATGTACATTTCTTCTTAAGGTGTTTTTATTTTTCGTCTTCGTGGAGATGTCTACTAGGGGAAGTATGTCTTGTTCCTGGGGAAGTTGTGGTTGCTTTACGGTTTCATACTTTCCTTGGCGTATAAGCCGGTACATGGTCTTCTTTCCAATCCCGGTTATTTTTCAATATATTTCCATTGTTTAACTGAAACTTTGCAATATTTTCGCGTTGAAGAGCCTTAAAATCGTTAAAACAATTATTTTTTCGTGAAATTATAAAATAAGTGATGAACTATAAACTGTTATAAATGAAGACAAACAAAACTGCTGTTTTGCAGAGTGATAATTATATA